ATTCCTCTGGTATTCCCTGCTTTCAGCCAAGATCCATCTAACATCAGCTACAATATCTCTAGTACCACGACCCCTTCTGAAACCAGCCTGGCCTTCTGGTAGTTCTCTGTTGATGTGCTGTTCCAGTTGTATACTTTAATTACAAAACTTTAAGCATACACAGAGGAAAGACTTGATATTGGCCACAAAGGCTCATAAAAGATATTACTCAGCTTTATCTAAAAGAGTGTGAATTCCCAAGTGGAGAAAGGTCCCAAAGCTTTGTACTCTAGCCACAGTATTAGCATTTTTTACATTCTTATTTCATTCTGTAGGGTATGAGTCTTCATTGTGAAGTAATCTTTGAAAGCACTGAATTATTTTTACAAAGCTAGTTCAGAAAAATGTCTACAAGAACAGTGGATAAACAGCATTCATATTACAGCTTAGACACTGTAGCCTGGTCAAGAAACCATAGAAAATCTTTCTTATTGTTAAATAATTCCACATCTTTCAACCATTTAATAGTTATTATGTGAAAAATTGGTCCTGCTAGGTATTAAGTGTACATTGGTGAATTAAGTAGACATAGTGTTTGCTCTTGCTATTATTGGGTGTCATTGACTTGGCCCCAACTCATAGCAACCCTATATACAAAGAATGAAACCTTCATCAACGCTGTGCCATCATTACAGTCTCTTTTGTGCTTAAGCCCATTGTTGGAGTCATCGTGTATGTTCATCTCATTGAAGGATTTCCTGACCTTTTTTACTCTTGTTGAAATTTGTATTCTTAAGGGGAAAATGAATAGGAATGATGTAACTACATACTGAGTTAAGTTTTATAAAGGAATAGACAAGGTGTAAGTGACAGGATGGCATTGTAGTGAAAATTGGAAGAGTGAAAATGGAATCACTATGGTACATCAGAAGAGAGGACCAGTCAGAAGGAGCCCTGTATGACAAAGTTTGGCATGATTCAGGAGTTGGAGGAGAGGTCAGTGTAGTTAATGGTTGTGAATAACTAGGAGCAACTGGGATTGTATCTTATGGAACTTTTTCTGTTGTATGCACTCTGAATCTTTTGAAGGGTTTTAAGGTGAGTAATGGCCTAGAGGTAAGAAGTTGCATTTCAATCCCAAAGGCCCACAGTTTGCATCTACCAGCCTCTTGGAGGAAGATGGTCAGTCTCCTCCCGTGTGATTTACTGCCTCTGAAAAATGGCTAGAGTGTCAGCTATAGATTGATTTTTACTTGAGGGTCATCAGCAACAACAGTGGTATAAAATTAGTTTTGACAGAGACAAAAATGAAAGATAAGAGCTATATATATAGAAATGATCAACCTTATGAAGCAGAAAGTTCTTGAATTGAAAGATTATTAGTGTTAATAAAATCACATTAAAAAGAGGTTATATTTTCAATTTAGATTTACTGTAGAGGAAGAATTAACAAGACCCTCAACGAGATGAATTGGCACAGTGACTGTAACAGTGGGCTCAAGTATGTCAGTGATGATGACGGCACAGGATGTAACAAGAGTTCAGATTTATTATTCATAGATTGCTAAGAGTTGTAGTCATCTTGATGGCAGCTAACCACAGCAGCCATCTGACAGATTTGTTGTATCAGGATAAGAAAAAACTTTTTTAGTTACTGGCTTAAGTGATTGGATGTGTAGTGATGCCTGAGGAATCAAATCTTGGAGAGAAACATTTAAGGAGGCACGTTGACTTTGAACTTTGACTTTGTTGCGGTGCTAATAAGGGATGCAATAATGAAATGGTATGAGACATTCTTCTCCTGACATTTTAGACTCGTCCAGCTCAAATGCCACTTTCTTCAGTTCTTTACCCAAATGTTAATCTTTACAGTGAATAAAGCCTTTCTTGATTAGACTATTTAAAATGCAAAGCTCCATGCCATCTGTCTTCCTTCCCTACTTACTTTTTCTTCATGGTGATCTTCACTATGTGAACAATACATATTATACTTGTTTCATGTTATTAGTCAGATTTACTCATGGGTGTGTTGGAAGACAGGTATGGGAGGGATCAGCCCTGAAAACCTTAAGGAGTTGTTTTTCAAGGGATCGGTCACTATCATGGAGAATCTGTTTTATAGCACCTAACAGCAAGTTCATACAGGAGTACTTTTTACTTTGTTGAGCTTCACAGATCCTTTATCTTTTAGAAGTTGAAGGTTTGTGTCAAGCAAGTCTATCAGCACTATTTTTTTTTCAACAGTATATGTAATATATTGAAATGTGCAAAGAGCTGGAGTCAGAAAGTCAAAGGGGCCAAACTTGCTTGACATTTCTTAAGCTGAAGGAACGGAAGAATAAATTAAAGCCTTGAAAAGCAATACTTAAGGATGCTTTGGTCTGAATATTAAATGACCCAGGAAGCATTAAAAGAAAATGGGAAGAGTACACAGAGCTACTCCAAAAGGAATTGGCAGACACAGAAGAATTTCGTGAAACAATATATAATAAGCAAGAGCCTGTGGTAAGGAAGGAAGTTCAGGCTGCTCTGGAAGAATTGGCAAAAAAACAAGGCTTCAGGAATTGACGGCATACCAGCTGGCATATTTCAACAAACAAATGCTGCCCTGGATGTGCTCACCAAGTTGTGCCAAGAAATCTGGAGGACAATCACCTGGCAAACTGACTGGAAGAGATCCGTATTTGTTCCCATTCCAAAGAAAGGTGATCCATTAATATGACAGCCAAGCAAGATTCTGATGAAGATTATCCAAAAAGGACTGGAACAGCACATCAACAGAGAACTTTGTGCAGGCTGGGTTTAGAAGAGGCCGTAGTACTAGGAATATTATTGTTAATGTTAGATGGGTCTTGGCTGAAAACAGGAGTACCAGAGGAATGTCAGTGTTTCATTGCCTATGCAAAGACATTTGACTGTGTGGATGGATCATAACAAACTATAGCTAACTTTGAGAAGAATAGAAATCCCAGAACACTTGGTAGTACTTAGGTGAAATCGTCAGAAGAGAGCTAGGAAACACTACCTGGTTCAAAATTGGGAAGGATGTATGCCAGGGATGTGTTCTATCTCCATAGCTTTTCAATAATATGCAGAACAGATTATTCAGGAGGCTGGGCTCTATGAGGAGAAATGTGGCATCTAGGTTGGAGGAAGACTCATCAACAATCTGCGTTATGCAGATGTCACAATCATGCTTGCTGAAACTGAGGAGGACCTGAAATGCTTGCTACAGAATGTCAAGGACTACAGCCTTCAATATTGCTTGAAGCTCAACATAAAGGAAAGCAAGAATTCTCAAGAAGGTGCCAATTAGCCGCATCATGATAGATGATGAGGAGATTGAGATTGTTAACAGGTGTGGTTTGCTTGGTTCTATAGTCAACACTCTTGGTACCAGCAGCCAGGAAATTAAAAGATGAATTGCACTGGGAAAGTCTGCTGTCAGAGAGTTCTCCAGAGTACTGAAGAGCAATGATGTTAGTCTGGAGACTAAGGTGTGCCGGATTCAGGTCATAGCAATTACTTGCTATGCATCAGAAAGCTGGACAGTGACTAAAAGAATAGATGTGTTTGAGTTGTGGTGCTGGAGAAGAGTATTAAATATACCACGGACAGCTAAGAGAACAAACAGGTTTGTCCTAGAAAGGGTGAGACCAGGCTACTTTTTGGAGGTAAAATTCTGAAGCTTTGTCTGACATACTTTGGACATGTTGCAAGGAAGGACCAGTCCTTGGAGAGGGACATTGTGCTTGGGATTATGGAGGGCAGCGCAAGTGAGGAAGGCCCTTAATGGCATGGATTGACTCAGTGACTGGGATAATAGGGGTTGGTGTGCCAGAGACAATAAGATTGGCACAGGAGAGAGGAGGGTATAGAGCTGTTAATACATAGGACAGCTTGATGACATATAACAACAACAACAACATGCTCATTTAGTGTGTCTGTGCCACATTTTGGAAATTCTCAGAATATTCCAAACTATTTCATATTGATATGACACTCTTAATAGCTTGTGACGGTGGTCGTGTTGTTAAGTGCTGGTGAGTCACTTGCAACTCATAGAGACCCTATGTACAATAGCCCTGAAACCTTCTCTTTCCTGTAATAGATTATCGTGTAGTAATATAGTATTATATGAATATAACTTTAATATATTCTGGGAAGTTAAAAATGTGTGACTTGTTGATTGTGATCATTACTTTATTGTGTGGTCGATAGCTGAACCCCAGATATCTCCAAGGTTTGCCTACAGATTCGTATGTAAGTAAATAGATGTGTTACTGTTAAGTATCATTAGCTTTCCTGTGATTCCACATACAGCAGAAAGAATCGCTGTTCGATCCCAGCCATCCTCAAGTTGTTGCCATGCTTGAGATCATATTACATGAGTTAGCATTTTTATTTAAGGATTAAAAAAAATGAATTCTAATTCATATTACGATTTTCTCTTCATTTTCAGGTTACAACTGATGGAAAACCCAAAATCCTTGATATCATTGATACTACAGGAAGTGGTGATGTGAATACTGCCACAGTAGTAGAGCCAAAAGATGGTGAAATTATTGGGCTTTCAGGAAGAGTGCTTAAGGTTCGAGCTTTTATCTTTTTATTGAATTTTTTGTCTCTCTTTTGCACTGTTAGTCAAATCATAAAATGCTTTTATCTTTAGTTAATAATAAGGTGCATATTAGTTATCAATGTCAGCATAGAAGATTACTCTAAAACATGATTAATTAAAATAAACTTATATTCTCTCTCAGTTCCTGTGTGGCCAGAATCTAGCTAAGGCATTTAGCTGAGTGCCTCTGGTTAGGACTATCCATAAGATTGCAGATGGTTGGCCAGGACTGCATTTTCCCCTTGGGCACACTTTGGGTGAGAAAGCAGAGTCCATTACCAAGTTTATGCAAATGCTCATTGACAGGCCTTGCTTTTTACTGTGCACACCTTACCACTTCATTGTTTACAGCAGCACAGCCATGACTGTGAATCATCTAAAAAGAGCACCTAAGGTAGAAGCTGTAGTCCTTTTATAAAAAGTGATCTTGGAAGTGAGTGACATCACATTGCTTCTTTCATAATTCATTAGAAGTGCTTGATAAATTCAGTACATACATCAGGGTGAGGATTTAGTAATTTCTGCTCATGAAAGCGTAAATACCAGGAGAAATGAATCTCAAGAGCATTTTTAGAAGAAGCTATTGTTTATTGTTTGGAGAACTTAAGAATTGTATATTGAAAGTATCATTTTCTTTTTTTTTTTATTAAATTTTATTAGTTTTAATGAACATTTACAGGGATTTCGGGTTTTCTCTCCTTCACCGCTGCACCATTCTCTCTACCCTCCTCCCCAGTTTGTTCTTCTTCCCCGCCATCCGAATGTCTGTTTTACTTGTCCAATTGCCACAGTGCTTGGCAAAGTCAGTTCTGATTAATCTCCTTTGTCGGTGTGTCCTTTGCCATTCCCTATCACTCCTCCCTGAGAGAGACTTCACCCTGATTCATAAGGAAAGGGGGACGGCGTATTCTCTTAGCTACTTCCTGCTGAAAAGGGACGCTGTGGGTTTCAGGGTGAAGATCTTCCCTACTCTAAAGGGCCCCTTTGGCAGTAGGAAACACATAGACTATTATGGAGATTGATTTTGGAATTTAGATGCACTCTTATTGATTGTGCTTGGCCGTACTTGTTCATATCCTTGAAGATGTATCATGGGGGTGTTGCAACCTAGAAGACACAAATTTGACTAACAAGTTATAAGTACATGAGTCAAAAATTATGGAAAAGTAAAAGAAAGGATTCTTTCATTGTTTTACAAACCCTCCCCCAGGTCCCCTCCACCATGTAGCCCTCGCTCTAGACTCCTGTGATGACAGAAGTACCTAGTCACATATCTCTTTTAAACAGTTCCCGCCCATTTTCAAATTCAGTTTAAAGTTTGAATAGAAATTTAGGAGAAAGTGATCAGATGATAATTTTGTCTTCTTTTCCTGTTTTATAATTTCTCTGGTTAATTAGAATGTGAAGTAATACTGAGTTTATAGTAGCTGTGGACTCAAGTGACTAATAATCTGTTATTCTATACTCTTAGTAGAAAGACTTGAATAATCAAATAGGAGGAAAAATTATTATAAATCAAGCATAAAGCAGCTTTTAACTTGGAGGATGGCAAAAATTTTATTTTCATTCATAACCTACCCTTTAGGCCAATAAAATAATTCATTTGGAATGCAAAAAAATTGTGATTTTTTTTACAAATTTAAGAGCAGTATTCTAACTGTGGTGAACATTGTATTAGTTCTCTGTATTTCATAACAAATGAGCATAAAGATAGTAGCTTAGAGCAACATACATCTATTATTTTTATGAATCTGAAGTCTAGACACAGCTCAGCTAGATCCTTGGGCAAAGTCTTCAGAGACTATATAATCTTGTTGGCCAAGACTGCGGTCTCAGCTGAGACATGGATTCCTCTAAAAATCTTTTAAGACAGTTTGCAAAAAAAGTTTCTGTAACTATAGAATTTAAGACAGGTTGTTTTTCAGGACCAAGACAATATATTACCTGAGGCCTGAGGCATGGCTCACGTCCCATTTCTAAAGAGCTCACCTGATTAAGATCAGCCTACCAGGGATAATCTCTTTTGAGTAACTCTAGACTCAGCTGATTAAGTATCTTAATTTCATCTGCACAATTTGTTCAGTTTTGTCATGCAGCGTAACAATCTCTGACAATTACTTCCAGACTTGAATTTTATTTCTGTTTTGAATCTATTGAAGATGCAATTATTCCAATACCATATCATTATCTTCACAGAATTTCATCTCCCGGGTTTTTACATCTTTTGTCTAATTTTCCATTATTTTTGACCTCTTATAATTTTTTTCTTACTGCAATTTTAGTGGCATTTTGAAAAGGAGCACAATACTTTTTTTCAAGTAATTTTAAATACGGTGATACCACAGACGTTAGTGTGTCAGTCTAGAATACAAACCAAAAATGAAAAAAAAAATTACTTCATGGTACAGTAACATTGATGATTATATTTGACATATTAAGAAAACTTTTTCTGTATGATAGGTATCTTCTCCTTGAATCAGGATAATGAGATGTAGCTAGGAAGTTATTACAGAGACTTTGTAGATCATGAACATCAGCCTTTTTACATTATAGCTACCATGTAAGTAAATCTGTTTTAAAAATAGCTGCTTAAATGATCACAATGTAAAGATTAAGATTTTGGTTTTCTGGTGGTGTTGAATTATATAAAACATACACTTCAGTTCAACAAAAGCTTTGTTCTTAAAGAAACCATGTTGTTGTGTGCCATCTAGTCAGCTATGAGTCATAGCAACTCCAAACAACAGATCTGACCCTTCTCCTATTCTGTGTCGTTCTTACCTTTGAGCCCATTGTTAGTCACTGTGTCAGTATATCTAGTTGAATATCTTCCTTTCAGTGACCCTCTACCTTTCCCATCATGTTATCTTTTTTCCAAGGACTTCTTTTACATCATGCCCAAAGTGTGGGAGACAAAGTTTCATCATCCTTGTCTTTAAGAAGCCACACTCTTGGTTGCACTTCCTCCAAGACAGAGTTGTTTGTTCTTTTGAAAGTCTTTGGTATGTTCAGTACTCTTAACCAGTACTGCAGTTCAAAGACATTGATTCTTCTTCATTCTTCCTTGTTGTTTGTCCACCTTTCACATGCATATGAAGCATTTGAAAAGAACATGACTAGGAATAGGTGCATCTTAGTCCTTGAACTGATAACTTTGGTCCTTAGCTTTTTGTAGAGCCTGATGATAGCAGATTTTTCAAATATAACACATCTTTTTGAGTGTTTGTGTGAAGTAAGGTTTTTGTGGGGTTTTTTAATTTCCATTCATTCATTGTTGCACTTTTCTCCCTTCCCGACCCTTCCCCCTAGTGCACTACCCTCTTGGAAAAGTAAAAGAAAAATTCTTTCATTGTTTTACAATCCCTCCCCACAGGTCCACTCCACTATACAGCCTTCTCTCTGGACTCCTGTCATGACAAAAATACCTAATAATTTTCCCTTTTAAACAGTTTTCTCCCTCATCTGTTTCAATGAAGTGTACAATATTAAACCCATGCTTCTCAGTCTCCTCCAAACCCCGAGGTCAGTCCTGCTTTACAACAGTGGCACCATGCAGTATTTGTCCTTTTATGACTGAGATACTCAGCATAAGGTCCTCAGGGTCACCCATTTTGAATAATATTGCATGAGTTCTTTGTTTTTCAATGCAGCATAATATTCCACTGTGTGATTATACCACAGCTTCTCTACCCACTCGTTAGTTGATGGGCACTTAGGTTGTTTCCAACTCCTTGCTGTTGTGTTATCTTAAGATAATGTAAAAGAGGCATGATTAGTGAAAGCTAGATAGGCCATGAGTCTCAAGCAATTCAAAGGCACATAACAACAACAGCAACAGATAGGCCATGCAGAAGAGCTAAAGAGAAAAAGAAGGAAAGGGAAACAACTGTGGAAGAAAAAGAAAGAGAAACACCTTTGGAAGGTCAGGGTTGAACCCAAACCTTTTGGCATGCTGCTGGGGGTGGAAGAGAGTGTAACGCGTCTTTTGATTTCTTGAGTACTGCTACCATGGATGTTGATTTATGGATCCAAGCAAATTGAAACTGTTGACAGCTTCAATCTTTTCTCTGTTGTGCTGTTGCTTGTTTGTCCAGTGGTAAGGAATTTTGTTTTTTTGATGCTGAGATATAACCCATATTAAAGGCCTTGATCTTCTCCAGTAAGTGCCTCAAGTCTTCACTTAAATAAGGTTGTTGATGAGTCTTGAGTCTTCTTTCAATCCTTATGTCCATTCTTCTTTGTGTAGGTCAGTTGTTGTTATTGTTGTTATGTCATGGGCGTTCATCAACACAAAGCTAAACTATTCATTAAGGGAAGTAGGAGAAAAAGAAAATTTACAAGTGCTCCGTGAAAAGTGTTAGTTTATCAAATAATTGAAGTTTTACAAACTACAGATATTTACTTACTTAAAGAATGAAAAATAAGCATGAATCTTAAAAGGTATTCTCCAGATCATCAAAGTTCTGCTTTTCTCAACATAGCTGTGAGGAATTTTGGTACAATTTTGTTTTCTACTTTGGAAGTAATTGTGGCACATGGTGATGAATTGGTTGAAGGTAAAGCACAAATAAGGATTATAGAGTTGATCAACTCCGAGTGATTTTTAGTTCAACTTCATTATTCATACACATTTCAAAGCTATTTTTGATGATATGCTGGATCCCACGAATGAATGTGCTTGCTCACGTTTTGCTTGGTTGTTGTTTTTTTTTCCCCCCAATTGCATGAAAGTTTATAAATTATGTTGTTTTTTCATGCAGTCATTCATGCTTAATTTATTCTGTAATGTGATTACCAATGATTGATTAACTAATAGTAAGCTCTAGTGGCTTAGGCAGCAGGGAGTTGCCCTACTGACCCAAAGTCCATACCTCTCTGGTAGTTGGAATCTACCAGTGTATCTGAGAAGAAGATGGACAGTGTCCTCTTATGTAATTTTTAGCCTCAGAAGACAACAGAGAGTCAGCTCTGAGCTCATTTCTGGCTCTGCTGAGTTTCATTACAATGTCTGAACAACCTCTTAGTGTGTTTCCTTTTCCTTCACTTCAGTTTTCTTTGTTGACAGTTCAACTTGGCTGATACTTTGATATATTTGATATTTACACAAATTATTATAGGTGGAGATTGTTTCCTTATTAAAGATAAGGAAGTAAAAACCTATGGATCTTACCTACCTGGTTGGTGACAGAGTTCTAGTCCTAGCCAGTTGTTTTTTTTTAAATGACCATATGTAATGAGTTTGATAGTCTCTACTATAGATAGTTTAGAATTATGGCTTTCAACTTTCCTGGTTTGGTGGCAGTTTTAGTTTCTATTTGCTGCTTTATCTTTTCCATTTGTAAACTGGGAATACTTTTTATAGCATTCTAGTAATTCAAGGCTTTTTTAAATACTTTGGTTAGTTGAAGAGATTACATATACTTTATTTACTTATTATTTAATACAGCTTTTTCCCGTAATACAAGAAGCTTTTATTTAATAACTGCATTCTTCCTGTTGTGTTATAAAAGAGTAAAGATCTTTTCCTAAAAAGAAGGAGGTTTTGTAAATGAATTCCTCTCTCCCCTAATTAATAATTGACCGATGAAGAAGCTCTAATGGTTTAATGGTAAGGAATTGCACTACTAACACAAAAGTATACATTTTAAATCCACCAGTTGCTCTGCAGAGAAAAGATTGACACTCTTCTACTGTGCAGTTAATTGATTCTGAACACCCACTGGAGGGTCAGCTGTGGGTCTGTCCTGACTCGATGGTACACAGCACCAGTAGGGTGGTGAAGAGGTCACAAGACTGATCTGGGTTTGTTTTATTGAACATGGGCTTCTTAACTGACCTGATAGCACCTGAACACGATGGCATGGATGAGGAGGGACAAGTCTTGCTGGTACAGTGGTTAAAGTGCTCAACTGTTAACTAAACGGTTAGTTGTTTGAATTCACCAGCTGCTCCATGATGGAGAAAGATGGGATGGTCTGTTTCCACAAAGCCCTGGAAACCTGGTGGGGCAGTTTACTGTGTGTTTAGGGTAGGTATGGGTCAGAGTCAGCTTGAATCAGTGGTGACAGGATTGTGAGGATTCACCAATGTCTAAGAACTAAAGATCTTAGTGGCTTAATAAGGTAACATATTGAAAGTACTTCATGTATTATAATGCATTATATAAATGAAAGATACTCAAAAAAACTACCTTATTTAAGGAAGTGGTGAAGGAAAGTATCTTGCTGCCTTGGGTGCTGTTGAGTCAACTACAGCTCATACTGACCTTGTGAGCAATAGATCAGAAACTTAACCTATTTGCCATTCTCATATTGTCCACCTTGTGCAAGCCTTTTGTTGCAATCACTATACAAATCCATCTCCTAGAGGATTTTTCTCTGTTCTGCAGACCCACTGATTTTCGAAATCTGGTGTTGTCTTTGCAAGGTCTCGTACCTCCCTACAAAATGTCCAAAGTACATGACACCAAATTTCACCTCCTTGATTCTAAACAGTACCCTCATTGTACTTCCTTTAAGACAGATTTGTTTTTCAGAGACATCTTGAAAGACTTCTTCAGTCTTCCTTATTCGTTGTCTAATGCTTATGTGTATATGAAAACATCATGACTTGGGTCAGGTGCACCTTAGTCTTTAAACTAACATTCTTCAGTGGCCAGAGAAGAGTTAAATGACCACCTAAAATACTGCTTTAGTATGTGAACCTGCTCATCCAAGTTGAGACATTAAGAGTGAAATAACATCCCTCTGTAGCCTAAATAGAATTGCAAAGAGTTTAGTGAATCAGCAGTATATTTACCTTTTTCCTCCCTATAGATTCCTGCTAGCTGGACAAATCCCTCAGGAAAATACCACATTGGCATAAAAAATGGCTTTGATTTCTATCCAAAGGCTCTCAAGGAAAGAATACAGGTAATGCACAATTTTAAAATTTCTGTAATAATATTCTTTGTTTGCATTTTATACCAAATAATCACAAAGTTATTATAAGCTAGAAATGACCTGGCTAGTTTAACAGAGGAATTACAATTTTATTTATTGTTTTAAAATTAAAGCTGTGATAAAAACATATAATGGCTATTTTATGGTACATGCCACTTTAGGATGTTGGTGTAACACTAATGTTTTTGTTTTTGTTTTAATATTTTTTTTAATTGGGGAAAAACATATTGGGGGTACAAGGAGGTGAGGTTGGGGGCAGAAGGGTGAGGATGGGCCAGGATGC